GTATATCAGTATGTAGTGTCTCTACTTTAAAGAGTCCTCTCCTGCTGATGTTCAGGTGTATATCAGTATGTAGTGTCTCTACTTTAAAGAGTCCTCTCCTGCTGATGTTCAGGTGTATATCAGTATGTAGTGTCTCTACTTTAAAGAGTCCTCTCCTGCTGATGTTCAGGTGTATATCAGTATGTAGTGTCTCTACTTTAAAGAGTCCTCTCCTGCTGATGTTCAGGTGTATATCAGTATGTAGTGTCTCTACTTTAAAGAGTCCTCTCCTGCTGATGTTCAGGTGTATATCAGTATGTAGTGTCTCTACTTTAAAGAGTCCTCTCCTGCTGATGTTCAGGTGTATATCAGTATGTAGTGTCTCTACTTTAAAGAGTCCTCTCCTGCTGATGTTCAGGTGTATATCAGTATGTAGTGTCTCTACTTTAAAGAGTCCTCTCCTGCTGATGTTCAGGTGTATATCAGTATGTAGTGTCTCTACTTTAAAGAGTCCTCTCCTGCTGATGTTCAGGTGTATATCAGTATGTAGTGTCTCTACTTTAAAGAGTACTCTCCTGCTCATGTTCAGGTGTATATCAGTATGTAGCGTCTCTACTTTAAAGAGTCCTCTCCTGCTGATGTTCAGGTGTATATCAGTATGTAGTGTCTCTACTTTAAAGAGTCCTCTCCTGCTGATGTTCAGGTGTATATCAGTATGTAGTGTCTCTACTTTAAAGAGTCCTCTCCTGCTGATGTTCAGGTGTATATCAGTATGTAGTGTCTCTACTTTAAAGAGTCCTCTCCTGCTGATGTTCAGGTGTATATCAGTATGTAGTGTCTCTACTTTAAAGAGTCCTCTCCTGCTGATGTTCAGGTGTATATCAGTATGTAGTGTCTCTACTTTAAAGAGTCCTCTCCTGCTGATGTTCAGGTGTATATCAGTATGTAGTGTCTCTACTTTAAAGAGTCCTCTCCTGCTGATGTTCAGGTGTATATCAGTATGTAGTGTCTCTACTTTAAAGAGTCCTCTCCTGCTGATGTTCAGGTGTATATCAGTATGTAGTGTCTCTACTTTAAAGAGTCCTCTCCTGCTGATGTTCAGGTGTATATCAGTATGTAGTGTCTCTACTTTAAAGAGTCCTCTCCTGCTGATGTTCAGGTGTATATCAGTATGTAGTGTCTCTACTTTAAAGAGTCCTCTCCTGCTGATGTTCAGGTGTATATCAGTATGTAGTGTCTCTACTTTAAAGAGTCCTCTCCTGCTGATGTTCAGGTGTATATCAGTATGTAGTGTCTCTACTTTAAAGAGTCCTCTCCTGCTGATGTTCAGGTGTATATCAGTATGTAGTGTCTCTACTTTAAAGAGTCCTCTCCTGCTGATGTTCAGGTGTATATCAGTATGTAGTGTCTCTACTTTAAAGAGTCCTCTCCTGCTGATGTTCAGGTGTATATCAGTATGTAGTGTCTCTACTTTAAAGAGTCCTCTCCTGCTGATGTTCAGGTGTATATCAGTATGTAGTGTCTCTACTTTAAAGAGTCCTCTCCTGCTGATGTTCAGGTGTATATCAGTATGTAGTGTCTCTACTTTAAAGAGTCCTCTCCTGCTGATGTTCAGGTGTATATCAGTATGTAGTGTCTCTACTTTAAAGAGTCCTCTCCTGCTGATGTTCAGGTGTATATCAGTATGTAGTGTCTCTACTTTAAAGAGTCCTCTCCTGCTGATGTTCAGGTGTATATCAGTATGTAGTGTCTCTACTTTAAAGAGTCCTCTCCTGCTGATGTTCAGGTGTATATCAGTATGTAGTGTCTCTACTTTAAAGAGTCCTCTCCTGCTGATGTTCAGGTGTATATCAGTATGTAGTGTCTCTACTTTAAAGAGTCCTCTCCTGCTGATGTTCAGGTGTATATCAGTATGTAGTGTCTCTACTTTAAAGAGTCCTCTCCTGCTGATGTTCAGGTGTATATCAGTATGTAGTGTCTCTACTTTAAAGAGTCCTCTCCTGCTGATGTTCAGGTGTATATCAGTATGTAGTGTCTCTACTTTAAAGAGTCCTCTCCTGCTGATGTTCAGGTGTATATCAGTATGTAGTGTCTCTACTTTAAAGAGTCCTCTCCTGCTGATGTTCAGGTGTATATCAGTATGTAGTGTCTCTACTTTAAAGAGTCCTCTCCTGCTGATGTTCAGGTGTATATCAGTATGTAGTGTCTCTACTTTAAAGAGTCCTCTCCTGCTGATGTTCAGGTGTATATCAGTATGTAGTGTCTCTACTTTAAAGAGTCCTCTCCTGCTGATGTTCAGGTGTATATCAGTATGTTGTGTCTCTACTTTAAAGAGTCCTCTCCTGCTGATGTTCAGGTGTATATCAGTATGTAGTGTCTCTACTTTAAAGAGTCCTCTCCTGCTGATGTTCAGGTGTATATCAGTATGTAGTGTCTCTACTTTCAAAGAGTCCTCTCCTGCTGATGTTCAGGTGTATATCAGTATGTAGTGTCTCTACTTTAAAGAGTCCTCTCCTGCTGATGTTCAGGTGTATATCAGTATGTAGTGTCTCTACTTTAAAGAGTCCTCTCCTGCTGCATGTTCAGGTGTATATCAGTATGTAGTGTCTCTACTTTAAAGAGTCCTCTCCTGCTGATGTTCAGGTGTATATCAGTATGTTGTGTCTCTACTTTAAAGAGTCCTCTCCTGCTGATGTTCAGGTGTATATCAGTATGTAGTGTCTCTACTTTAAAGAGTCCTCTCCTGCTCATGTTCAGGTGTATATCAGTATGTTGTGTCTCTACTTTAAAGAGTCCTCTCCTGCTGATGTTCAGGTGCATATCAGTATGTAGTGTCTCTACTTTAAAGAGTCCTCTCCTGCTGATGTTCAGGTGTATATCAGTATGTCGTGTCTCTACTTTAAAGAGTCCTCTCCTGCTGATGTTCAGGTGTATATCAGTATGTAGTGTCTCTACTTTAAAGAGTCCTCCCCAGCTGATGTTCAGGTGTATATCAGTGTGTAGTGTCTCTACTTTAAAGAGTCCTCTCCTGCTGATGTTCAGGTGTATATCAGTATGTAGTGCCTCTACTTTAAAGAGTCCTCTCCTGCTGATGTTCAGGTGTATATCAGTATGCAGTGTCTCTACTTTAAAGAGTCCTCTCCCGCTGATGTTCAGGTGTATATCAGTATGTAGTGTCTCTACTTTAAAGAGTCCTCTCCTGCTGATGTTCAGGTGTATATCAGTATGTAGTGTCTCTACTTTAAAGAGTCCTCTCCTGCTGATGTTCAGGTGTATATCAGTATGTAGTGTCTCTACTTTAAAGAGTCCTCTCCTGCTGATGTTCAGGTGTATATCAGTATGTAGTGTCTCTACTTTAAAGAGTCCTCTCCTGCTGATGTTCAGGTGTATATCAGTATGTAGTGTCTCTACTTTAAAGAGTCCTCTCCTGCTGATGTTCAGGTGTATATCAGTATGTAGTGTCTCTACTTTAAAGAGTCCTCTCCTGCTGATGTTCAGGTGTATATCAGTATGTAGTGTCTCTACTTTAAAGAGTCCTCTCCTGCTGATGTTCAGGTGTATATCAGTATGTAGTGTCTCTACTTTAAAGAGTCCTCTCCTGCTGATGTTCAGGTGTATATCAGTATGTAGTGTCTCTACTTTAAAGAGTCCTCTCCTGCTGATGTTCAGGTGTATATCAGTATGTAGTGTCTCTACTTTAAAGAGTCCTCTCCTGCTGATGTTCAGGTGTATATCAGTATGTAGTGTCTCTACTTTAAAGAGTCCTCTCCTGCTGATGTTCAGGTGTATATCAGTATGTAGTGTCTCTACTTTAAAGAGTCCTCTCCTGCTGATGTTCAGGTGTATATCAGTATGTAGTGTCTCTACTTTAAAGAGTCCTCTCCTGCTGATGTTCAGGTGTATATCAGTATGCAGTGTCTCTACTTTAAAGAGTCCTCTCCTGATGATGTTCAGGTGTATATCAGTATGTAGTGTCTCTACTTTAAAGAGTCATCTCCTGCTGATGTTCAGGTGTATATCAGTATGCAGTGTCTCTACTTTAAAGAGTCCTCTCCTGCTGATGTTCAGGTGTATATCAGTATGTTGTGTCTCTACTTTAAAGAGTCCTCTCCTGCTGATGTTCAGGTGTATATCAGTATGTAGTGTCTCTACTTTAAAGAGTCCTCTCCTGCTGATGTTCAGGTGTATATCAGTATGTAGTGTCTCTACTTTAAAGAGTCCTCTCCTGCTCATGTTCAGGTGTATATCAGTATGTTGTGTCTCTACTTTAAAGAGTCCTCTCCTGTTGATGTTCAGGTGTATATCAGTATGTAGTGTCTCTACTTTAAAGAGTCCTCTCCTGCTGATGTTCAGGTGTATATCAGTATGTAGTGTCTCTACTTTAAAGAGTCCTCTCCTGTTGATGTTCAGGTGTATATCAGTATGTAGTGTCTCTACTTTAAAGAGTCCTCTCCTGCTCATGTTCAGGTGTATATCAGTATGTTGTGTCTCTACTTTAAAGAGTCCTCTCCTGCTGATGTTCAGGTGTATATCAGTATGTAGTGTCTCTACTTTAAAGAGTCCTCTCCTGCTGATGTTCAGGTGTATATCAGTATGTAGTGTCTCTACTTTAAAGAGTCCTCTCCTGCTGATGTTCAGGTGTATATCAGTATGCAGTGTCTCTACTTTAAAGAGTCCTCTCCTGCTGATGTTCAGGTGTATATCAGTATGTAGTGTCTCTACTTTAAAGAGTCCTCTCCTGCTGATGTTCAGGTTCAGGCGACCTCAGTGCGATCTCAGTGCGACCTCTGTGCGACCTCAGTGCGATCTCAGTGTGACCTCAGTGCGACCTCTGTGCGACCTCAGTGCGACCTCAGTGCGACCTCTGTGCGACCTCAGTGCGATCTCAGTGTGACCTCAGTGCGACCTCAGTGCGACCTCAGTGCGACCTCTGTGCGACCTCAGTGCGACCTCAGTGCGACCTCAGTGCGACCTCAGTGCGACCTATTGCCTATAGCATCGTTAGCAGAAGTTTACTTCACCTCTCCTCTCCTCCACGGTGACAGAGTCCGGTCCTGAAGCCTTAATGTAGACTTTCATGTTGACAGACCTGAAGGAAAGCACACTTAGTCAAATACTCACTAACAGAACAACACTATCAAAACAAGAACATACATTTAAAATGATTGAATGAATTTAGAACTAGAAAAACAATGCAATAAAATGAGAAACTGCTATAAACAAATGTGTGAGTAACATTAAAGCTGCACTGTTTCATACTTTTATAAACCCATGTGACAATCACCGGAAACAACCCAAGTGTGTGTGGTGTTAACAAACAGTGAAGATAATATCACTATGAGCACGCTGGCTGGTATTGTTCACACAATGAAACCACAGCAGAGAGTTAGCAGAGTGTGCAGCTCCCCTCAGCTCGACAGAGGGAGCATCTTTCCCGCTCGCTTGGTTTGACTTAACCTTTTGAGTCTCACTTCTCTTATCAACGTATTTGATCAAATGTTAACAAACACCTGAAAGCCTGCACCCATGAGATACACATCTCACACTGCTCTGTCACTTGTATTCATGTGCCTGTGTTATTCCTGTTGTGTTCACTTTGCTTTGAAATGAGTGTTTTAAATGTTATGATATGTTTCTGCTGCACTATTTCTTAATGCTCTTAATGTCTTTCATGTGTGTAAAGCACTTCAACTTGCCTGGTGTTGAAAGGTGCTGGATGCCTTGCCCTCTAAGTATGTTGTGGGGCAAGGCCAACCTGTTAACCCTAACCCAACCCTGTGCACGGTTAACCCTTTAGTAACCCTCTGCAGGCTTTCTAAGCAATCCCATACCCATCCCAAATGTTATCAAGATGAATGTATGGCTTAAAAAAAACTTAAATGTACCTACAATTTAAATTGAACAGACATTTATTCTAATTTAAAAAGAGGTCAAAAATGAAATCTCATAATAAAATATTCTATTGATGATGAAAAATGACAAACTAATGCTTTTGACCAGAGAGGTTAATAATGAAGTGGAAATGAGCAATCCTTTCACACAGACTTCTATACAGACATATCTGAGCCTCCCTCTGCTACGTATGAAGGGAATGCAAGTCTACGGCAACATAGACATCATTCTGACACCTTTTCTCCTTGTCCCCTCACTTTTGAAAGAGCAGATCCTCCTTGGGCTTGAGAAAGCGGATTTGATTAAAGTTCACACTCAGTTGACGGAACCTGGTTTCACAGCTCAGTGTCTGTGGCTTGAAGCAGAACCAAGGCTCGCCTGTACGACTGTCGGTGAAGTTGCACAGCGGCAGGGGGGTGGGCTGCAGGCAGACCCCACACATGGTGGTTGCAGAAACGTTGCCTGAACGGAAGATGCTCTTCCAGGCAGTCCTGTAAGGATGCTCCCTAGCAGTGGCGGCGCCAGGGTATGGCTGGGGTAGGCTACAGCCATACCAAGAAATGGCTTAGCCCCACCTTAGCCCCACCTTAGCCCCACCTTAGCCCCACCATGAAAAGTGATGCAAATTCAATTAAATAATAAGCGAAATGCTAAATGTTGAGAACACGGATTGCGAAAATATACGGGTCGTGTCCACAGCACACAAACTGATCCTGCTGTAACAACAAGTGCACGTTACTGATGCAATATGGTTGAGACCATTCGGGCTTATGCTATAAGAGGGGTGCAAGGAATAGTCTAAGTAGTGGGGGAGTTTTATACACTAAAGGTGTGGAAATTCTCTGGCGTTATAATATCAGCGCGGCCGCGGTCAGATCAAAATGCCTCCGAATGCAATTTGAATAGACCTACAGCCAATCAGAGCAACGCAACGTTGGGTCTGCGTCATGCCTTATTGATTGAGATCAATCGAAACCGCCATTCAGTATCCCCATTGGATCTTCAACGTGTACTATCATACGTCACGTTCACAGTGATCCCTTTTTATTTACTACAAGACAAATGTGCCGTTTTATTTCATACAGTTCCATTTTGATTGAGACGGGGAAATAATCTAAACCTCACGCGTGGCGTTTCACTGTCAAGGGGGGCGATATAGCGTGTATGTAATTACATTGCAAATACTGACTTGAGCACCACCATGTATGGGTTAGCCCTACCAGAGATTACCCAACAAAAATGCTCTGGCGCCGCCACTGCTCCCTAGTCAGCCTCTGCAGCACAGAGATGGCCTCAGCAGAATGAACCATTGTCACCTGAGTGGGCAGAGAACCAGTCAGTAGAGCGGTTATAGTTACCTAGAGATGTTCTCACACACACACACACACACACACACACACACACACACACACACACACACACACACACACACACACATACATTAAACATTACACATCTGTCGTAGTTCTTTATTTATCTACAGAGATCGGGCCTCAGAATAGACCGAAAACTATTCTTTTACCGTTCTGTTTTAATTTCACAATAAAGTTCGTAGTAATAATTTGTTTTGATATTATTGTTTTTTATGAACTATAGACCGCTGGGTCATGTTAAGACCATCTTTTCTGTGTTGCTGTGGGTTTTTCACATCTCTTTTGTGTTACAAATATCAAAACAATAACAGAATATATCCGTCGTAAACTAAACCAGAAACAGCAGTATATTTTATTTTGTTAACACTGTAAACTTGACAGCTTTTGAACCCGCACCTCCTGCTGGTTAAAGCACGGTATTACACCTTTAGAGTCATTGCAATGCAGGTAGATTGGGTTGCTTTTTAATGTTTAAAATGCCTTTTTCTTAATGTCTTTCATTTTTGTAAAGCACTTTTGAATGTGTTATATTTTATGAAAACATTTAAATATTAAGAGTGTTAAGGAATAATTCTTCTAGATATCTAACCTTTTGCTCTGTGACGTTTTATGATCTACTCTGACGTCTGTTATCTCCTTTAAGGAAAGGCCTTGGTGCCATATGTGTTGTTGTCACCAGTGTGTGACCGGTCAACTTGTCTGGCACGAAGGGTAATTGTTGTGAGAACGCTGAGGCACTTCTTTATCGGTGTTTGTGGACTCTAAGATGTGAAATCTTTGAGGCCATGAGTGTCGGACGCAGGTGGCTCAGTGTTCCCAGCTGTTTAGTCTACTCCTTCAGAGATGTTGATCTCTCTCTGTGAACCAGTTCAAAGGTCTAGCATAGAGAGAGGTTCTTCAGAATTGACGTGGCAACTCTACCGTGTGGTCAGAACCTCTGACTCTTTGATTTGTGATGTGAATCCTCCGGCCGAATACTCTGAATAAACCCATCAGTGTTTGACATCAAAAGCTCCAACTCTCACCGTGTCTCCTTCCTGAGTCGGTGACTCCATGCATTGCTACACAGAAGTTTCCCCCACAATGAGTACATACAAAATAGGAGGAAAGTAGAAGGTCAATGATAGAAATATAGAATAGAAAATATCTAGAAGAAACTGTAAATGGTATCTAGAATAAAACAGTTTAGTGCCGGATGTACAAAGATATGAATAGGAGGATGTGCAAAGATATGAATAGGAGGATGTACAAAGATATGAATAGGAGGATGTACAAAGATATGAATAGGAGGATGTACAAAGATATGAATAGGAGGATGTACAAAGATATGAATAGGAGGATGTACAAAACAGACAAACTAATTAGGCTTTATTTCAACATTAAATAATACTTAAGGTTAAGGTCTTCTTTGAAATACATGTAAGCAAAAAGCTTTGGGGGTATCTATATGAAGATCTATATTTGTTTTGGGACTTGACAATCAACTTTCCTGAGTGGGCAGAGAACCAGTCAGTAGAGCGGTTATAGTTACCTAGAGATGCTCTCCAAGTTAAAAAACAAACATCCTGCATTCAAATCCTGTTAGGAGAGCACACACACACACACACACACACACACACACACACACACACACACACACACACACACACACACACACACACACACACACACACACACACACACACACACACACACACACACACACACGCCACTGAAAGTAGTCCCTCATCTGTGTTGTATGATATTAAAACCCTGTAAAGCACATTTTCTAGGGAATGTATCATTTTATTTCAACATTAAATAATATTTTAGGTTAAGGTCTTCTTTGAAATACATGTAAGCACAAAGCTTTGGGGGTATCTATATTAAGCCTGACAAAGTACTTAACGTTTAATATATTGCATGGTTTGTTTTGGGACTTGACAATCAACTTTCCTGCAATGTTAACTATGTTGAAGCACTTATTTTAACTGATATTATACATATTTATTACACTCTTATAAGATGTATGTAGATAGAATAAGAAATGTGCAGAATATGTTTAATGGTGGAGGTACACACATATTGATAGATCTCTTGTTGAGGAACCTATGACCCCAGTGTGTCATCATTGCATAACTACACCGTAGTTGTGTTTATGATATTTCAATAAACCTTTGAACATCTTGAAATCTTGAAAGGGATGTGCAAAATAGCCATTATATACAGTTTGATGAACAATTAGAGAATAACGAGTAATGAATATACTTTATAGAGATCTGCAGATACCTGATTGTTTGCACTCACCTTCACTGAATTTCACTCAGGTGTAACTAAAGTCTGATTTAAAGGTGGGGTAGGTAAGTTTGAGAAACCGGCTCGAGATACACTTGTTGTTATATTCCATGGAATGCTCTTAACATCCCGATAGCAATGAATATCTGAAGTGCTTTGACAACAAATCCATAAATAAATATCATCAGTGGAAGCTGTAGTACTGTAAAAAGCACGACCAATCATCTGAGCCGGCCCGGCTAAAATAACTGGATGGCCTACCTGCCTGTCAGCCTTCCATCTGGGCACAAACTTATCTCGTGCCCTCATTGGTCATGTGCGCGTTCGTGTGTTGGAGGAGGGGCTCTGTGAGGAAGTGGCAGATTCTTTCCGGCTGTGTATTTTCAGATTCTAGCGATCTCGAGCTGGTTTCTCAAACTTACCTACCCCACCTTTAAGGGTTGTTTATATTTCACATCATTAATCCAAATCTGTAAAGTAACTAAAATAAATGTAGTAAAAATACCAGGTTAACCTTAAAGAAAGCCCTCAGGATTATAAAAGACCCCCATCATCCCAGCCACAAACTGTTCAGTCTGCTGCCGTCTGGCAGGCGGTACCGCAGCATCTGGACTGAAACCACCAGACTCAGGGACAGCTTCATCCCACAGGCCAGAAGACTATTAAACACCTGAACTTAGAAACAACATCCATAACATTCATCTGGCTGCTACTTAGAAATGATTTGTCTAATATATCATATTCAATCACTTGTATATAGACTCTTATTGCACTATTTCACTTTTTACTATTTTACTATTTTTCTTTTTGTATTTACTGCACTATTTTTTCTGTGTATCTGTTTTATTGTGTTGCACTGTTGGAGGAGCCTGTGACCTAAGGGGGGGGGGGGGGGGGGGGGGGGGGGGGGGGGGGGGGGGGGGGGGTAGGACACGTTGGAGTCTTGTTCTGGATAGTGTGCCGTCGATGGGTTTCATTCCATTTCAAAGTGCTGTTTGTGTGTAAACTTTGCGCACTGCCACTCCAACATCCAATCACAGAGCTTGAGAACTAATCACGGGGTTTGTCAAACAGAGCACATGGTGTAGTCCTAAACGATAGCTGGGGATTCTGGGTAGTGTAGTGTCTTCTGCCATCCAAAACTCCGAAAAGATATTTGTTTCTCCAAATCGAAGGGGAAACATACAAAAGCATTGCACACAATTTAAACCAATCAATGTTGAGTAATTCGTAATCAGATCAAAAATAGTCCGTTGTTACCGTTTGATCTACGTAGCAACGGCAGGAAATGCTTCGATAGCGTTTTTGAGGACCTTTTTGATTACAGATTTGAAAACATGGTTGCTTGCTTTAAAAGTAGCACACTTCATGATGTCAGACCTTGGGAAGTATCTAGATACCCCTGCCCTCATGCCAAAGGAACTGCACACTGAATATGTTTTGCCGTTTGATGTCTATGTCTGGACCGCTGCGTAAAAAGGAGGGTTTCTGCCCCGTTACTTCTCCGCTGCTTTCTTGTCCCAGTTTGAAAAGCAAGCAGCATGCTGTTTGCTTTTCAGACCAACTGTACACTGTTAAATCGACCAGACTTCTTTCTGCAGATGTGAGCGTCCTTAACAACGGTCAATACGTCCTTGCTGCACATGATCCCTTACATGTTTCTTGAGCTTTGTTAGTTAGTTAGTTTCCTAACGGACGAAATGTAACAGCTGTAGCTTTTCTCAGACGTGGAGGGATACTGACTTGTTGTGAAAAGTAACTACAATTCTACCCGTGGTATACGCTCATTATATCACGGCTAAGAACCAATCAGATTGCTTGATTTGACTTGTCCGTTTTATAAATAAATATATATATTGTACATGTATTACAATGTATTATACAATGTATGTATTGTTGACATTTACGTTTAGTGTTGATTTTTGTTTTGTTCTGTTGTAGCGCCTGGTGCGGAGTGCGTTGCCTTCTATGTTTAAGATAACCCTTTGTATTTGATTGTATTGTTTTCATTACATTTGACCTTTTAGCAATTCTGATAACAGACATCTAGAATCCATTTGTCACCAGCGAAAATGTTGGTTCTTGATATCATCAATTGACTTGACTATTGGAAGTGTTCAATGCAGATATCTGTAGGTTGAATACATCAACAGGTACGTTTCCCTGGGACACTTAGCTTTAAGTAGTAGTAGTAATTTAAGTAGCCGTAAAGTGCACATTTAAAGTTATTCTATGTTGGCCGAGTGATATAATTGGATCGGCTTATTACAGGCCTGCAACGAAAATGTTTCCCCTTTTTATAATTTTTTTATTTCGATTGCTGATTGGTTTAAAAAACAAACTAAATTGCCTCCACCAGCTTTTAGACTCATTTTACAGAGCGCTCACATCATTCAGCTGACAAAAAAAGTCATCGCGACTCTTAGAGCTAATGTTGCTATGGATGACTTCAGTTGCTTTAAAGGGGAAACCCTACTGTTTCTAAAAAGACCAACTTATCCTGAGCTTTCATCTGCCTGGTCATTCCAAGCAGCAGGAGCCAAAGAAAGCGGGACTTCTCAAACAGCTCAGTTCCAAGACAGATTCAAACGTACGGTACAATTACATTTAATATAATGGTGTCTATAGCATTACCTCAACCACTGCATCTCCTTCCCAGACCAATGAGAACACAGCGGAGCAGCTCCCGTTGAGATGATCCACCACTTTTCCAACCACGCCTGCTTGAAGCTTGGAGTTTTTCAGCCGTGCGAGTAAGAAGGCTCCTCCAGAAGTCTTGGGGCGGCCATTGAAGTCAGACATTTCGATCATGACCCTCAGCTGATCCCCGATCTGCCACTGTCCTCCTCCTCTCCTTGGTAAGATGGTGAAGGAGCTGTGAGCTGGATCACAGGTGGTCTCTATGGATATAGGAGTGGGCCAAGGTGGGATTTCCGGCCAAGCAATGGAGGCCAGTATGAGGCGTTCCTCTTCAGCCTCCTTAGGGGACAGTGGCTTAAAGGTGCACACGCCCTGTTGCATTGTGGAGCCATTGGTGAGTGCAGGGCTGCCCAGCTTTGAGTTCAGCTTGGAGTGAGATGTTTGTTTTGGGGGGGGGGGGGGGGGGGGTGGAAGGGCTGAACACAAACAAGAAACTTTCATGTGTCCAGTGTTACAAATGTATTGACCATGTACAAACTATTTACATAAACAATTGACAAACATAACTTGACAGGGAGGTCGCTTCTGGACCCAACGACTCGGACACTAGTTCTACCAAGGCTTATTATGGCGCATTTCCACCATGGCGCGGAGCGCGGTTTAAGCGTGCCGTGTCGTGCCGTGCCCGTTTTTGGTTGCGCTTCCACTAGGCCTAGTTACGGCCCGGCCCGGCCCGGGGCCACTTTTTCACCTCTTTTCTGGCCCGACAAAATTGTGGTTCTATCGGGGCCAACAAACAGGGCTGAGTCGGGCTGAGTATGCTAAACTAGAGAGAGGAGCGCTGGCAAGGGGGCTACAACTACAACAAGATGGACATATTTGACCGTGATTTAATTGTAATACACGTTTCAAAATGATGAAGTAACAACATACTGATACCGGTTAGTAAAAACCATGAATTAATGCTTTGTCAAGTCTGCAGACAGACGGCAGGCGAAACACCTTTTAAAATGCGTGTTTTCTAAATGGAGATTGGCTAAGCTAACGCAGCATATGCTCCGACCGTCCACACTCACAACAACGGCCTACAGACATAAATAAAGCAGCGACTGTATTCACCATGACACAGGCAGTCTGTGGTTTGTACTTGTTTAACTTTTGTCTAGTTTCTGAACAGATATAAGGAGCTGTGAGCTCTGAGTGCTAACAGCTAACGGCTGTGTTGTTTTTCTGGGGTTCTCATTGAAGATGACGTCACGGCTCCGCCTACACTGCGTTACTATAGTAACTACCCCAGTTCCTAAACTGTAATGGAAATGCAGCATGAAGTGAGCCGGCCCTGTTAAGGCCCAACGCGGCCAAGCCGTACCGAGCGAGGCCGACCGTGTGGTGGAAATGCGCCATTAGAGGTAAGAGTGAGAGGAGAGGAGTTCTCTTTGTATTTAGGCTGCAAGTCGACAAAGGTGATCAAATGCTGATGCTAATAATGATCCGGTTCATTTGATATTGATTGTCTGCCGATACCGAATCCTGATCCGATTCTTCTATTCCCCAGATAATACAGCTGCACCGTGTACACTAGCTCTATATGTCTATGTCTAGGGGTAGACATTAAGGGTACATCCACTGGCCCGGAGCATTCGTCTAAATCGACTAATAATGAAGAAACTGAACACATTGGTTGCAATAGTAATTTGTGCACAAACTACATTACTACTTGTACTACAACATTTGAATCATCAGTTCTTCCTCATTTTCCTCAATTGTTCATATTTGGTTTATTAAAATAATAACTTTCTTTTAGGAAACCGGGGGTCCAAACAGTGCTTCCGGGCCAGCGGGCCATTTATTTATAATGTCGAGCCCTGCATTGTAATTCACCATAAGCAATTGTTGACTGTAACGTCTCGGCCAACAAACTGTCATTTGTAATGTATTTGACTTTAACGGTCAAGTTCTGGCATCCACAGCAGCCCAAATGTTAACGTTAATGTCAAGTTTTCTTTTTACAGTGTACTTATATCTGTACATTTCTTTTCAGCTTGCTTGAAGAAGTGGCTTCAACAGACAGAGATGCAGACAGATTGGGAAAGGCTGGACGCTACACAACGGGAACATTATGGACATGAACAATCTCATCATACATAGTGTTACTGTTTTTGTTACCATTTAAATATTGAATTCTATTTATTACTTTTATTTTCAATCAAATGCACCTGTTTTAGATAATATATGTATTTTGATGTATAGGTTGATTTGCATGTTGGTTGTTATTTGTATAATTATTGTATTGTTACTGTGTCTTTTATTATATAGCTATTTATTAAATTAAAATACTGTAATGAACACTATACAATGTCTTTGTTTTGGTAGATACCAGAACACATGACACAATGAATCTTTGTAATATATTTATGTTCTCTGGTTGAAATAATCATACCAGTATTTAATGTATGCTGGTGACCTTAGCTGGTCAGGCTGGTGACCTTAGCTGGTCAGGCTGGTGACCTTAGCTGGTCAGGCTGGTGACCTATAGCTGGTCAGGCTGGTGACCTTAGCTGGTCAGGCTGGTGACCTTAGCTGGTCAGGCTGGTGACCTATAGCTGGTCAGGCTGGTGACCTTAGCTGGTCAGGCTGGTGACCTTAGCTGGTCAGGCTGGTGACCTATAGCTGGTCAGGCTGGTGACCTTAGCTGGTCAGGCTGGTGACCTTAGCTGGTCAGGCTGGTGATCTTAGCTGGTCAGGCTGGTGACCTATAGCTGGTCAGGCTGGTGACCTTAGCTGGTCAGGCTGGTGACCTATAGCTGGTCAGGCTGGTGACCTTAGCTGGTCAGGCTGGTTCAGCAGGGTTGTTGCTGAATTTGTCAGAAAGTCAAGAGAGAGATGGTGTCAGAAGCACATGAACTAAAAAGAGTATAAATACAAATGGATAAAGACATTTCTGTTTTTTTAATTTTTGTGTTATTTGTATCTATATGCACCAAAACACCAAGTCAAATGCCTCGTATGTGTTACCTGGTAAACGTGTTTCTGATTCTGAAAACAATATCTGGACTTCTGACGATCACAAACAGTTATAGTGTAACAGACACATTCCTTACCTCGATGAGCTTTTCTTGCTGTAGCGCAAAAAATATGAAAGCAAAAACCACGATGAGAAAGAAGGCTAAGCACTGCCTTCTGGAAAACAAGTTCATGATAGTCAGATTATTGTTCAATGGCAAACTAAAATATTAGATCGCTGGCATGGCCTGCTCAGCGGCTTTCTCCTGTTCTGAGCACAGAGAAAGTCAATATGTGGCATCCTCCTCGCAGAGGGGCGTGGTGAACATTCAAACTCACCTTGCACACACACTACTGAAAACATCTCACCTTGCACACACACTACTGAAAACATCTGGCCTTGCACACACACTACTGAAAACATCTGGCCTTGCACACACACTACTGAAAACATCTGGCCTTGCACACACACTACTGAAAACATCTGGTCTTGCACACACACTACTGAAAACATCTGGCCTTGCACACACACTACTGAAAGCATCTGGCCTTGCACACACACTACTGAAAACATCTGGCCTTGCACACACACTACTGAAATACTCTGGCCTTGCACACACACTACTGAAAGCATCTGGCCTTGCACACACACTACTGAAATACTCTCACATTCACTACTGTAGTGGCATCCAAGGTTTCCCTTTGCCTCTATAGAGCGGGGTTGACGACACGCAATCCAAAGCAATAAGCAGCCGAAGGTTTTCAGTCAAAAAATGTAATTTATTAACAAAAAAGTATTGACTTAAATTGTCTCAAAATAGCAAATTTAAATCAATATTTCGGCGATATACTTTCTTATATAAACTATACTTTGCAGTCCAATTTGCAACACTAATTTCTGTTTACAATTTGCGGTGTAAAAACTGTTCCGCTCCCCGTCTCATCAGGTCTCATCAGGTCTCAGGTCTCATCAGGTCTCAGGTCTCATCAGGTCTCATCAGGTCTCATCAGGTCTCATCAGGTCTCATCAGGTCTCATCAGGTCTCATCTGGTCTCATCAGGTCTCATCAGGTCTCATCAGGTCTCATCAGGTCTCATCAGGTCTCATCAGGTCTCATCAGGTCTCATCAGGTCTCAGAGCACCGCGGCTGTCCTCAATTACCTCACTTAAAAAAACACCGGAAGGTACAAGGAAACAGATCATATTTACGATTTAAAATAAACAATCATTTCATCAAAAGATATTCACCATGGCAATATAAATCATTTTACATCATTAATTATCAAATTATGAATCTAAATAATAACGTTGACTTCATTGTGGCTCTAACAACTACTGAACACCTCACACACACACAACTGAAAAGTAAACCTCACACACATACTACTAAAAATGAACCTCACACACACACAACTGAAAATGAACCTCACACACACACTACTGAAATACTCTCACATTCACCAGTGAACACCTCACACACACGCAACTGAAAATCAACCTCACACACACACACACACAACTGAAATACTCTCATATTCACTACTGAAAACCTTACACACACACACACACACACACACACACACACACACACACACACACACACACACACTCACACACACACACACACACACACACACACACACACACACACACACACACACACACACACACACCACACACACACACACACTCACACACACACACACACACACACACACACTCACACACACACACACACACACACCACACACACACACACTCCTGAAAACATGTTACTGAAAGCTTCTCAGTTGGGAATGTGCATGTGTTTCACCTGTGTGTGTGAGGGGGATTCTTGCTGTCATTGTAATGAAACGGAAGTACCAAACTGCTAGTGATCGCTTTGCTAGCTCCGTTAGCTCCGTTAGCTCCAGGGTGCTACAGCTGCTTGGCTGATCCGGAGAACACAACTTGAACTCGGACGTGTTTGTTGTGTTGAGGCCTGGTGGAGTATTCTTCATTTAAATATCGGACTTATCTTAGGGCTCTGCGGTTAAAACAGACCGTCCATTAATGCAGTTTCTTCGGTAAGTGAGATTCAAGCACTTTCTTTCTCACTGGTGTTTTTATTCAGCTAAGCTACATCTGTGCTAAGGATGCTATCCGTAGCATCCAAGTTAAAACATAATAGAGAGAAGTACATCATAGAGAAGTGTAAAACATTAAGAAGGATTATACTGTAGAACAAAAGGCTTATGTGTGAGGTTGGTAAAATGAGGTCATGCTTGTACATTAGTTAGTTTGCTAGTTAGGTAACTGTATGCATTGATATTGTTAATTTAAAATAGCTATGCTCGACGATGCAGACAGCTAGCGTCACAGTAGTGTTGAAGACCAG